CTTTAACCCCAGAAACTTTGTAATGCAGTAGCAGAAACCCTGAAAACACCAGAGTCATCTGGAGAGCTTGACTTTCTCTACTGCTAGTTATCCAAGTTAACCATAACTCAATTAACTTTCAAGGCTTTAGGTTTTCCCTTTTTTGTCTACGCGCACCCTCCCACAAGAAGAAACTGAGAACAAAGTGATGTTCCACCAATATATTTACTGGCATAAATTTATGAGCCATTTGAAATGTATATACGTTGCTTATCTGCTATTCCACTTCATCTCCAACCCTCATAATTTTAGCTATTTTTATCGAATGCATGACAGACATCTGCTTTAACGTTTCCCCGGTTAAAAAAAAAAATAGAAAAAGAAAAATTCACCAACAGTAAATTATAGTAGATGTATATCATGCTGGGACGTGCTACATTTACATCCAAGCTAAACAGAAATGTATTCTTCAAAATGATCAAAATAAATCAACATAAATCAACATAAATCAGCAGTTCCTTCTGTGAGTGCTGGAGCAGCGTATTTTTAAGGTAACCATGCTGCTGTAAACCACATAATCCATGTGCTTACTAAACATATGACAATGGAAACTCTAGACACTTAAACTCACGCTGTGCCCCTTTAAAATATGCGATCGATCAGTATTTCGATCCTTGCTCAGGTCAAAGCTACGGAGACCAAACTTAACAGATCTTGTTTGAGAGTCTCTGCACAGTCAGCTTCTCTGGCCAGTCTGCGAAGGCAGTCCCCGGCAATGGAGGAGGACAGGAAGGGCCGAGGACAGTCCTGACAGCCCAGCAGCAAGGACAGGCAAGCCCGGCCCAGTGCTGGGTAGCTGTACCGCTGGGAAAACCAGTACACCTGGGGCAGCAGGGCAGCCAGAACACCACCTTCAGCAAATGTTTCCGAGGAGCGAGAGCTCTGAGCCGCAGATTTGGGAAGCTGCTCTGAACCTTTAATCAAGCTCTTTGGTCTTAAAGTCAGCTCTTCTGAACTGACTGATTTGTCCACTGTTTTCTTACCGTCTGTCTGTTGCAGGGAATTTGGTTTCTTTGTTTTTTCAGTTTGCATCTTAAATCCTGTCAGCTCTAGCTCTGACGTTCGATTGGCCAGGCTTTCCTCAGCAGACTCGGGGCACTCGTGGTCCATTTTGGATGCATCCTTTTCAGCGTTGGCCTCTGTTGTAGTCCGATTAGCAGCTTTCGGACAGCAGGACAGGAGAAACGACACGCACAGGTCCTCTAAGTCTCTCTGTAGCTCACTCACCAAAAACCTGCAAGTTCCAATCATCATCTCACATAACGGAGTTTTCTGGAAATCCACGTTTCCTGCCGAGCGCTCTTCTGTCTCGCTTTCATAGAGCTTTAGACCATCGAGCACCAATTTGTCCAAAATCTGACACTGCCCGCTCTTCCTTCCTTCCTCCCTTTCCTTAATCGTTTCTTCGTCCTTAGTAAAGCGACATCCATGCAGATAATGTAGCACTGGTAATAATGCACCTCTGCTGACATCTTTAATGGGGATAGCTTCTTTTGAATTGCCCTGAGCTTCTCCAAATCCACCTCTCAACAGGGCCCTGAAATACTCAGAGCCGACCCCACCTGTGCCCTCAACCCCAGCTACAGCCTCCCTGCAGGCTGGGACCTGGGTCCCATCATCCAGCAGCAAGAGCAGATCAAAGTTCGAGATGCTGTAAGGGCACGTGTCTGCCAGCCGAGCTTTTTTAGAGGGAGGCGGAGAAAAATGGCCAAGGCTACTGATCGACTGTCTTATAACTGGAAATGAATGTTTTTTGTCAAGCTCTGTTTTAATGGTACCTGTGAGAGCAGACAGGCATCCAATCAGGAGAGAGAAGTAGAGCGAGTGGAGATGTGAGGTCACGCCTGAATGTGGAGAGTTCAAAAAGTCAGAAAGCAGTCTTTCACATTCAGCAGGGTGGTCTTCGTCCGCACCATCGTCGTCGTCACAGCTGAGGGGCTGCAGGGCCAAGAGCAGCCCGCCGCTGTCCAGAAGAAGTTTCTTCAGCAGTGACTTGTTGCTGTACGAGAAAAGAAAAGGTAAAAACATTAATAGGGAGTGTTTATTATCTATTCTGACCTTCTTTGTTCCCTCTCATGTACACACTGTTACAATGATGGATACTCCTATTCAAGAAGGAAATTGTTTCAAATAATAAGGTCAGCATATGTACAAGTAATCCCTGAGACAAAAACCTCACACTACAGTGTGCTTTAAAAGCTTATTTTCAGGCTTTTCTTTATTATCTGATCTATAAGATGTGGCAGTTTCTAATATAGTTGTTTCAGGCACGCAGGTAAGAGAACAGAAGCCCCGCCTGGCTGCTGTTCAAGTCTTCTGTTTACAAGAAACAGGCAGTCTGAGGATATTTGGTGTAAAGGTCGAAGAACCTCAACAGCTCGTTTCAGATAGAAGATTTCCATATTTCAGAAATATAATGCAAGTAGTAGAACAGAATCCACTATATTTGGTCTACTTCAAAATTCATCACAGATTACTGTTATGTGGGGCTGCAGCTATCGATTATTTTACTAATTGATTAATTTATCAATTATTCCATCGATTAATCGAGTAGTCTGATAAGAAATATTTTTGTCTTATTAATGAGTAATAAGAAAAAAAATACAGTTTTTTTTTAAAACGAACTGCTCATTATGTTTGCTGTCTTTTGTTTTATCCGTCAACAAAACAAACCCTTTTTATTTACGTTTTAAATTTTAAAAATTGTCTTAAAGGCAAAAATATATTTAAAAAAATACTCTCAAGTATAGTCAAATAAAATAAGATGAATATGCAATCTAAACTAAGGCATAAAACATGAATCTTTACTGTCTTCTTGGAAGGCTTTATGAGTTTTT